CCAGAAGTGGTGAGTGAATGATTCATATTGGCCTCCTCCTGAGGTTCCCAACATCACAAATGCCAGTCCAAAGCCAATTTGATTCAGTCCACATGATATCAATACAAAACTGAGAGCACAGGATACTAGAGAGCTTATGGGCCTTAACAACATTCTAGAGCTTTATGATCTAAATGGGATACCGCTGGCTACTCCACAAAGTAAATGTGATCATATCATGTCATATATTGGGTTTGGTACATACCAGTTCTGGTCACAAAGACACAAAAGTGACATTGGAGGTAAAAACAGAAAGTGATAGAAAAACTCAGCAGGTCTGGAGACAAAAATGTACTTAAGATTTCATGTCCAATATGACATTTATTTTGGAGGACGTGTCAAATGAACTCTCTAAACAGCTTTCTTGCAAGCTTTTCCACACAGAAATTAAAACATTGATTAAAATCACTCATTGAAGAACTGAAAGTTTAGCATCTATCATTATCATATTCAAACCTTCAGAAAATCCCATTCATTTAAACTATTATACTTAAATATGTTTTACATTTCATTTGTGTAATTCTGAATTTTATGACAGACCCTTTTTTGAACATCTATTGTATGTTGCTGCGTGACTGCAGCATTATATAAAAGCTCCCAAAAGCATTGGCTTTTGTTGTGGTACATTATGTATTTACAATTTTGTGTTCCTTTTTACTATTTTAATGCATTTCATTTGCAAATATTTCAATGACTGTTGTGTTCTAGCTTTGGATACAGAACAAACATTCAAACTTTTCTGCCCACCCAAGTAACATGAGGATTCATGGCAAAAAAGTTCTTCACAAAGAACAATCAATCAATCAGAATAGACTAATGCTTAAAAATCCTGGATTATTTAAGTACTAGGTAAATGCTGCATTTGGGAGATGACAGAGTCATTCCTTGGAAAACGAGTGTCTAAAGAGAGTCAAAAAACAAAGGAATTTAGGGGAACAGAAACACAAATCAATTGAAACCTGCATTTTCTTTCTAACTAATTAAGAATGTAACAGGAGGGAGTCAGTCAGCCAATTTAGGGTTATTAAATACATTTGCATCCGTTGTATAATCCTTTGATCTTTTACTTATAAATTCTGTGTATTGAATATTTCCTCTCTCATTATACCTGAGGAAGGGGCAACACTCCAAAAGCGAGTGTCCAATTAAACCTGTTGGACTATAACCTGGTGTCATGTGATTCTTGACTTTGTCCAACCCAATCCAACATCAGCACCTCCACATCATCACTTATATTAATGGTGCAGGTTAATACAATTTAACTTCACTTCTAGAGGGATGTAATTTACCTTAAAATTGCAACAAACATTGTCCAGACCACACATGGGCCACTGTAAATAATTCCTGGTCTTCATGTTATAAATGGGATAGTAAAAGGGATTGGGAAAGGTTCTAAAATACCTGTTAGAGATGCATCTGAACTGAGAGATTATACCTACCTGAAAGTTTGCACTGGCTGTAGCTCTTCTCACTTGACGTGAGGTCTGAGGGGTGAGCTGTAAAAGATCTTCAGGATTATGGAAAAAATAATTATAATATACATATATAAATATATATATAATCTTCCCAATTAAACAGAATTAGAAGCTGTAAATATGATAACCAATATAAATGTTGCAGAATAATCATTTTTGAACAGTTTACAAGCAAATTGTAATTCCCCCTAAAAATTGTAAGTGTGGATCCACTGTGTAAAATCACATAAACTAATACCATTACTGATATAATTCGAAAGTAAAATTTCAAAACTAAGATATTCAAGTTTGTCACACATTTAGCCAACAAATAGTACCTTTAATATTCAATTTATAATGTTCCTGGCCACAAAATCTCGTCCAAAGGGAAGCCCTGTGTATATTTTATTAGGAATGTACTTGGAAATTTCAGATTTTTTTGATGTTATCCCCTTAAAGTAAACTGTTTATGTTCCATAAAGCCCAAATCCGTCCAAAGAATTACTATTACTTCCGTACATAGATGAGAAATTTGAATGAATACGAAGTAAGATATTTAACAAATGCTACTTACTCATTGTAGCTTTTCCTGCTGTTGTTACAACAGGGACTGCAAAGAATGCAGCCATTTGTATTTGTAGTTTCTAAAAATCACAAGTTCAAATATTGATCCTCTAACATCCCCACTCGAACGTCTCCAATCAAATGATATGTCTCAGGATGACAACATCCGAAATGTCAGTATTTTAGCAAATTGATTCCGCATTATGTATTTATTGGCATTTAACCATTTTAATCTCGAAATTGTTTGGCAACAATTATCTCCCAACCCACTAGCATCAGTTTCTTGTTTCACTGGTGTATGGAATCATTCAAACAGAAACCTCTTCAAATTCGACAGAAATGATTTATGGATTCAGATAATATGTGCTCAGATAAGATAGCTTAATGTTATTAACTTCTGCCCTAGGGCAATGTATGAAATCACTTTCTGTAGGTAAAACTGATGCCTTCCATTTGACTATATGCTATTGCTGATATTTCGAAAGCATCTTTTCCGTTATCCTTCAACGCCTTATCGTGGAATTAAGACGCACCGTGGTTTTCCGACTGGAATCAATATCGTTAATGCTTAAATGCTCTTATTTAGACATTATATTTATACAACTTAAGGAATTTCTTTTACACTGATTATATTTGCTGGATTGCTGCGCAGTGTGATATTTTGACTCGGTGTGCTGCTGGCGGAACACATCGCCTCCTCCTGTGGATGGAAGAAATGAAAGTTTCACAAACAGCCCGATTAAATATTCCGAAGTAGGGTCGGATCGGGCTCGAAATGTTAACTCGGTTTCTTTCTGCACAGATACTGCCAGAAATGCTGAGTTGCTCCAGCGTTTCCTGTTTTTGGTTTTATTTCTCATGACATATTCGATAGGTCTTACCTGATACGAAAATAAAATGATACCAATGTTGGAAACCTGAATTAAAAATCGACCACATTCACTGGGGAAAAAAAAATTACGTTAAATGTCTGCAGTACTACATCACAGGTTAGACATAATAAACAACAATCTGTTTACAATTCATTCTTATAAAACGACATTAATGTGTATATATTCCGTTATTTATGCATGTAAAGTGCAAGTATTTAAATTTCGAGAACCTATAAATGAATTGAACGCAAACTATTCAGCTCACAATTGTACCGGGTTATCTCCTAGATATCTTTAAGCATACGTTTCGAAAATTCTTCTGTGTATTAGTGAAATGCGACTCCGAAATGTGTTCTTCAGACACCAGGTCTCGCTTTCCACCTCAGCCTGCAGCCGCCTTTCTCCAGGTATACACCGGTCACTCGAACTCCCTGGAGCAGGGTGGCCTGATCCAAACGCCTTGCGATTGACTGGTCTTTGGACGAGCAGATGGATAATCCACCCGAGAAACAGCAAGTCAGCGCACAGCACCATCCGCGCAGTTAAAAGGGAAGGCTTGCTTTAAGGAAAGAAGGAACCATCCATGTACCTTCCCCGCTGAAACGAGGCCGCGTTGTAAAACTAATTACTTTGCAGAGACAACAATCCCCGGCATAAACCGAGGCAAAACTCCGGAAGTTATTGTCTCCAAATGCTGAAAGCTGTGCATCGCAGCAAGCCCCAATTGTTACTGGTTTCACCAGCCCGTGTTGCTTCTGATTAGGAAACGGATAATCTGCTTTGAAATCTCTACATAGTTTACATATACGAAACTCGCTTTTAATTTGTGATTTCTCCCAACTCTATTCCTTGTTTAATTCTGCCTGATCCGAGATGTTGCATTTTAAAATAAATATTATCCGTGTTGTAGCTAAATTGTTGTAGTAGGGAGGAATGGTATTGATCATTCACACATACAGCCCCAACCAAATTCAACTTCAACTATTGAGAGTAATTAGTATACTTAAAATCGCGTCTTTCGTTTGTCTAACGTGTCTTATTTTCCGCGAGAATTTTAAAATACATTTGTTCCACCGTTTTATTCCCAGTTTCAAACTAAATCAAGCCCTGAGGCCAAAGCTTCATTTTCATCTCGATGTAGAATCGAATAAAAATCTCATCTCTCTGCAGCTACCTAACCTTATTTAATATTAGCCTCCAGTACTCTGGGTGAAATAGTGCCCCACAAGTGCCCTTCAGATAACATCTGTAATTATTGAATTCATTGCTGAAGTGTTAAAGGAAGTGGAAAGTATTTTTTTCAGATTCTGAAATGTAAAACTTTAATTCCGTTTTAAGTAAGGCTACGTTTCGTTTTCGGTAGGGGGACCTGGTAAAACTAACACGGTAAATGAACCTCCCATCCATTAACTCATATCCAACCTTCATCGAAAGAATTCGACGGATTGTCTGCTAAATGATACAATTTCGGTGTGGTTTGGCAATGGGTAACTTTTAATGTGAAAGTAGAGGACATTGTAATTTTGCTGCAATCAGCACAGCAGTCCTTCCAATGGTTCAAGATTCCAAGGATTTAGGTAAATATTTATTTAGTCAACTCGTTAATTACAGTCAAGTTAAAACAACACAAAATGCATTTAATACAATAATTAGAATGCACAGTACATCATTTAAGAAGCTGTGTGCACACATTAAAGCTAGTAAGTAGAACTGTAGAATCAATATTATCCAACAGTACAGCAGCTTCTTTCACACATCACCGACCACCTTTGTAAACTTTCTACCAACTGTCCGTGATGGCTACTTCCACTGAATTCAACAGCAAAGATCCAAATCACTCTTTAAGCGGGATTGCTATTATTTTGTGTACCTAGTTGAAGAGATTTTGGGGAAGGTGGGTGGGCACGCTCATTTCAAAGCTTTGACACAATGAGGGTAAATAGGGTGGCGCCAGACTCCTTTAGCTCTGACATATAAGCCAGGTGGCGTCAGTTCAGCACCTGATCACCACTCTCCCGAACAGTGAACCTAACAGCAGACAGTGCACAGGGCAAACCCCAGGCTGCAGTTTATGAATCTCGCCGATATTTCCTACTTTACCGGCATTTGCAGCATGACTGCAGAGTGCCAACAGTCCTCCAACGAAGCTTCCTGCGCTTCGAGTCCGCTGGATAGCTCGGCGGATGTGTCATTGAGTTCCCCGGGTAAGGAGGAGGTGATGGTTAAATCGGAGCCGAGAAGCAACAGCCCAAGCGCGGAGAGAGATGACGGGAACAGGGGCGATATTGAGGGCCTGTTACCGAGCTCTGTTGGTAGGAGAAGGAAGCGTCCTATCCAACGTGGGAAACCCCCTTACAGTTATATCGCACTGATCGCCATGGCCATTGCCAACTCGCCTGAAAGGAAGCTCACCCTTGGAGGTATTTACAAGTTCATCATGGACCGGTTCCCATTCTATCGGGAAAACTCCAAGAAGTGGCAGAACTCCATTCGACACAACCTGACTCTCAATGATTGCTTTGTCAAGATTCCCCGTGAGCCTGGCCGCCCGGGGAAGGGCAACTACTGGACCTTGGATCCGGCAGCTGAAGACATGTTCGATAACGGGAGCTTTTTACGGCGGAGGAAACGTTTCAAGCGATCAGACATCACCACCTACCCAGGCTACATGCAAAACTCCAGCGCTTTCACTCCACCCCCAGTTGGGCGGCCCTCTTACCCCAATCCACTATATCCGAGCATGGGCTCTGGCTACAGTCCCCAAGTGCACGCTGCTCCCCATCATCCAGCCGTGTTACATCATTACCAAAGCTCAGTAGTGAGCCAGGCTCAGCACAGGATGTTCAGTATCGACAATCTTATTAGTCAACAGTCTGTACTGCAGGCCTCGTCAGGCATTGATTTGAACTCTCACGGAAATGGGGAGCTCGGAACGATGGCCAGTTGTTCAGTTGGTGGGACAGATAGTTTCCAGTCACAGCCCGTAAGCCCCACTGGGATGGGGGCCATGTTGAACAGGTCTTCCAACAGCGTGACTTCCAACATGACCTATTCCTATTCTACCTCCCCTCCCCATTTAGCCATGTCCCAGGCCAATTACTCGCCCAATCATACCCAGATGTATTGTCCTGCAAATCGGCTCGCCATACCGTCCATGAGAGCAAATAGCTGCTCCGATCACGCTGACCAGCTTTTGGCTTTATCCAGCCATCAGGTGAATGGGCTTACTCAGTTCAATGGCAATACCTCGTATATGAGGCAAACCAATTATGCGCCTGGACTTGAAAGATTCATGTAGAGTGTTTGCTTTTAGGAGAGAAGCAGTAAAAGTGACATTCCTTTTCCACAAAACGACTTGAAGTTAGCTCTTTTATATATTTATTCCGAACTATAGCGCCAAAGTTCAGCGTCTTTCTATCCTTCCACGAATTAAACAGTATCGTTGTGTTTTCGCACTAGAATTTTGCTCATCACTGTAAGAACGTACATTTCAGTACAAACAGGATTGTTTTGTCAGGGAAAGATACACATCTGTCACCAATTGTCAACAAATTTCGTTCCAGAACCAGTTTCACCGAATACTGTGTGGTACTTTTTATGTGTTTCGGCGAGAAAATATTTATCGTTGTGTTTGTGTAACAGCTGCATTAGATGCAACACTTTTTTAAAAAAATTAGTTCTTATCGGAAACGACGAAAAAATAAATACTGGATTTTTTACGTGAAAGGAAATTGGTGTTTTCTTTTGGAAACACACACCCTTAAGACGGTGTATTAGAAACTTTGCTTAAAATCACAAAAGAGGCCTCATTTTGCTTATGGACAGATAGCAATGGTACTTTTGACCATATCTTCTTCCCAGACAGTATAATATAAAATATAAAAACCGAAAGAACTGCGGATGCTGTAAATCAGGAACAAAAACAGAAGTTGCTGGAAAAGCTCAGCAGTTCTGCAGCATCAGAAACATCAGAGTCAACGTTTTGGGTCCGTTTGACCCTTCCTCAGATAATGTTATTCTTCCTGCCCACAAACCTGAGCTCCCACTCGGAGCAGTGAAGAAACTTGAATCAAGTATGGTCAATCCGTTTTGTGAGCCAGTTGTCTATCAGAGAGCTACATTTACGGAGAAAATCAAAGTAACAGAGCAGCAGGCATTCCTGTTTCTTCTTGGATGGGAAATCTTTTTTTTAATAACCCGTAGCAAACCAGATAGTGAATAATGTGGAATTTAAAATAGCTTTGTATACCTGCCTGTAGGTATGAGTTTGCAAATTAAACCCGGATGTAGCTGAAACTAGTAAGAAACGAAATAAGGACAGTAAAATAAATAAAAGTCGTTACACGAGATTGTTTCTTAAATACTCAATTTAAAAAGTAATGGAAATACGTCCAGTCTGACAAAGAGTATCCCCAGTTCTTTATGTTATTTATGAAAATACGTCAGATGGGTAATATTGACGATTTAATTCGAAACTGCTGTCCTTTAATGGCATTTTTGAATGCTACATTTAAGGCATCACTTCCTCTGAGTAGGTTGTTCTTGTCAAACTGTTAATTTGCTCAAGAAAAATTGTTATGAAGGATTTACACAACAGCAAAGCCGCTGTTCGAATTAGGCACGGGTCGAAATCCGATTGTCTATAGTGGTGACAATTGTGTTTTTTAATTACACCGAAGATGGCACTGTCTTTGTTTTATAACATCTGCTTAATGCAAACATGTTATTGTTTACAATGTCCTCAGATTGCTTAGAGAGATAGAAAAAGGTTTTCCTGAACGTAATAAAGTTTACAACATCAAAAACTTGCACTTATATCGCATAGTAGTTGTGATCTGCCTGGGGCAGATCCTTATATAATGGATTTAACTTTTAATTTTGTAGCCTTGGGTATTGGGCGGTTCAGTGTTAGTGTAAGGAACGTAAATATTCCTGGGAAAGCTTATGAGAGACATGCCGTTAAATAATTCTAATATAAATCGACAAAGAAACAAGAAGCTTCAGAACTTGGCGTATGTGTACACATCCCCATTCATTCATACGTAGTACTTTCATTCAATGACCAAAGTTTAAAATTAATGCTACTTTTAATTTGCCAAACTTTCGATCAAATTGTTAATATCTAGAGTTAGCAAATCCCTGAGCATCTTTTGTCCAGCCTACAGGTACAAAAATGGTGAAATAAAAATCACAAACGAAGTTATTGCCCTCAACGTTGTATATCTGTTTACACTCTCAGTTTTAAATTAAACGAGCTGCAATTATATTGTTCAATTCGATTAAATAAAGAAGCTAGCGGCGGTAGTTAGAAGGCTGCTCCGTTCTCATCCGAATCAGTTGTTTTTACGAAACAACGACCGTTGTACATTGTTTATAAATAAAGGGCTCAATCGTTTATTTCACTTATAATCCGATTGATTGATGATTGTTGAGACCTTTTATTTCGTTCAGCGAAAGGCAGAATCCGGTGGGTTCTGGGAAGTTCCCTGCATTTTCACCCTCAGTTACTGCTCTCAGTTCTAGTTTCACCTCAAGTGGCTGTGGAGCCACACCGCTCAGGATGTCTGACAGAGGCTTTTGTGTCATTGACGGCAATCTCCAGATGGCATTATTGAACATGTTTGCTGTTCTGCTCATGCAGACAGATATTTGGCCAGACATTCTTACGCAAGGGCATTCTCAAATCGTCTAATTCTTATGAAACTGAAAATGTTCGACGGGTTTTAGGCAAAATCTTTGTTGCGCCAAGTAAATAATTAATGTGAATATTAATGCGTTCCCAACGAGATTTTAAGTAACAAATTTTATTTTTGTACATTTTAAATTAAAGTGTAATACTTGTGCAAGGTGAGGGGGAAACGAAAGCTGAATAAAACATGATTTTGTTTATTCGTTTATCGGAACGTGGCTGGCAAGGGCAGCAGCAATTGTTGGTCAGTCCCAACTGAAAAAAAAGACCAGTGTTACCTTCCCCAAAGTACAAAGGTGATCAAGTCAAGTCGCCATTATTTTGCTATAGACCATTGGGTGCTGATTTGACTTGAGGACCACCATACCTTAGCCTAGGGGAGAGGTTGAGAAGTACAGTCCTTCTTGGTAACCTCAGCCGGTATAGGGATTGAACACGCTATAAGCATCACACTGCTTTGCAACCAAACCGTCCAGCCAACTGAGTTAAAACGACACCCACAGAGGTGAGAGCGTTAGCTCGGCACAGTGGCTCAGTGGTTAGGCCCTACTGCCTCACAGCGCTAGGTACCGGGTTCAATGCCGACCTGGTCTGGTTATCTGTTTGGAGCTTACACATTCTCCCCGTGTTTGTGTGGGTTTCCTCCCACGGTCCAAAGATGTGCAGGTTAGATGGATTGGCCACGCTAAATTGCCGATCATGCTAAGCGATGTGTAGGCTAGGATGGTTCGCCATGAGAAAGTACAGGGATAACGTGGGATGCTCTTTGGAGGGTTGGTGTGGACTCAATGGGGCCGAATGGCCTACTTCCTTCTACATTGTAAGGGATTCTAGATTCGAACAGGTTTGGTCAGGAGTCACAGTCCACAAGTTGGTGTATCGACGTATGTGAAGAGTGATTTCATTTCACACCCATGTTCAAGTTATGATAGGAGCTGGCATCCAGTTTATAAGTCCGAGCCCCTGCACCCGACCACTCGATTGTTGTTTTTCACACGCAATTTGCACACAATGCATACTTAAGCTTTGTTTCTTGGGCAACAAATTCCAACTTTTGGACAGTCCTCCTGGTATCCAATCTCTCCAGCCCTCTCAGAATCATTTACGGTTCTATAAGATCACCTCTCATTTGTCTAAATTCCAATGGGTAAAGACCAATATGTTTAACATTATCTGAACTATTTCTTCTTCGATGATATCCTTTTTCAACTAAAAAGTTTCATGACTGTACAGACTACATCAGATGTGATCTCACAAGGCCCCCTTCATCTGAAGTAAAACTTCCATAATTTTATATTCCACTCCTCACATCAACACTCCATTTCTTTCCTAATAAATTGTTCTTATCTGCATAACAACATATTGTAATTCATATACCAGACATTGTAAGTTCCTCTGTACCACCATGTTCTGCAATCACTATCTATTTAAATAACATAGTGCTTTTCTATTCTTCCTGCCAAATATGGCTCTCTTAACTGGGTGACCTCTACGTACTGCAGTGGGAAGTCAGTATCTTAACACCAACTTAAAAATGGTTAAATACTAGTCTGAAAACCAAATATTATGTTTGATCTTGACAATAGCAATGGTTCATTTGTTTAAAAGCCACTAACTCTTAGTATCATGCAGATGTAAAGGTTCTAAAGTGTCATGAGTTTAGTCAATGCCAGAATTCATGTAAATAATGCTTGTCTATCATACCCATTCCATATCTTCCATCCAATGCATAGGTACTAACTTCATGCATTATTTTAAGACTTTCCTCCACCATACGCAACTTGTTTCACTCCTGTTATATTTCACATATACGGTACAGTTCACAGCATATCACCTACATGAATTAAATCTGAGGCTTCTCTTTTTGTACAAAACCAAGTTAAACGCAAAGGAAAGAAACTTATGCAACAAAAGTTATTATACTGTACCTAATAGCCAGAGAGGAAATCTTGTGGAATGCCTTTCAAACAATTAGTGAATTATAATCACAAAATGTAACCTTCTGGATGCAATCTCCTTCGGATTTGGCCATTATCCTAATAATTAGCTGACAATCAACTGATATATTTTGTAGACTGTTGAGCAATGACTTAAATTCCTCTGGTTCATATCTATAGCAACATAATAAAACTGCTGAAGTTTTTAACTTTTTTGTTATCTTTAGTGGAATGACAAGAACATCTTTTTAGAACTATTAGATTCATTTTAAGTAACTAAAAGAGCAACTGGTTTTGAGGACACAAAGACTAGAATGATTTTTACCTCAATTTTGTAATTTAGAAGCTTGGTGTTGAGACAATTCTCATACAATTATCACTTGGATCATGCCTCAGTTTGAAGTAAAGAAATATTACAATAATAGTAGTAATAATATTAGAAATGCTGAAATGAAAATATCCCTTCTCAGTAAGCTATTATGTCACAGAATTTGATCAATGAAAAAAGATTTATTTCCTCCAATGAAAGCAGTGTCATTGCTAAGAATGCATCTCTTTGATGATGTGGAGGTGCCGGTGTTGGACTGGGATGGACAAGGTCAGAAGTCACACGACACCAGGTTGTAGTCCAACAGATTTATTTGAAAACACAAGCTTTCGGAGTCTTACTCC